TCAATGTCTGTTTTGTCTGATACAAGTATAATTACCCCTATTTTCTTTTAGTTTCTATTTGCAAGGCTTATCTTTTCCCATCCTTACACTTTCCCATTTACTCATGTCCTTAAAGGACTCCCTAGGGAGTCCCTTGTAGGCAACACACAGCTGTGTTTTGTTTTTGATGCAGTCAACCAGTGTGTATTTTAATAGGCAAAGTTACTCCATTCAGATTTGAAACAAATTTTTCTTTTTTGAGACAAGCTTTTACTATGCAGTTCAGCCTGGCTTCAAACTAAGAGTGATCCTCCTGCCTCAGCCTCCCAAGTGCTGGGATTACAGGTGTGTGCCACTATGCCCAACCTAAAACAATTATCGAAGGGACCATGCATCATAATCAATTGAAATTTACAGCTATCATGCAAGGGTGATTCAACATATGCAAAATCAATACAGATCACACATCACAACAAAATGAAAGGAAAAATCACTGCAAAAAATGCAGAAAAAGTGTTTAGCAAAATTCAACATATTTTCAAAATACCAACTTTCAACAAATTAGGTATAAAATGAGCATACCTTAACATAATATTGACAATATATGACAAGGCAATGGTCTTCATCATATTCAAACAATGAAAAGCTTTTTCTTTTAAGAACAACAGCAAAAGAACAAGAACAAGGGTGCCGAAGCTTCTACCTTCTATTAATCATAATAATGCAAATTCCAATGATATTACCTAAGCAAGAAAAAGAAAAGATATCTGAGTAGAAAAGAATAAAACTGTTTGCAGATGACATGACCCACTAGGATTTTCTGTATTTCTAAATCCATGAAAGAATGATCATGGGGCTGGGGAAATGGCTCAGTAGAATAAGCCCAGGGCCTGAGTTCAATACCTGGTTCCGGAAAAAAAAAAAAAAAAAAAAAAAAAAAAAAAAAAATGAATTCAGGAAAGCAGCAGGATACAAAGTCAACATACAAAAATCAATAGTGTATACATATGCACCAATTCCCTAAAGGGTGTTCCCCTGGTGTTCCATTTTTGGAACACTTATAAAACAGTAACATAATTTTTTTTCTTCAAATTCTTGTTCTTGGGCTGGTGAGATGGCTCAGTGGTCTAAAGCACCTACTTGCTGAATGAAAGCAAGAGACAGGAAAAGGAATATTGTGCGACTGTCCTGCTTCAAGGTTGTATATGGTGAGATTTTTTGGACTTATGTGCAAACATGAGAAGTATATAATTCTTTATGCCTAATTTTAAAATATATTCTAATTTTTAAATGTTGTTATCATATTCTGTAGGGACATAAAGTTCAACATATCAATACTTGATGAAAAATACCTTTTCCATACTATGCTTAAGATGTTTGATATTCAGACAGATAGTGAGGTTAAACTTAACAGCCTAAGTTGTTTGATAATAACAATAAGCTTGTCTTCTGGATGGTTAACAACCTAAATTTGCAGGCCAAAATTAGAGAAAAAGAAGGGCTGCAAGGAAAGCCAACATTTTGACCCTAACCTTCTAAGGTCACTTAAGACTCAGGACATATGAGAACTCGTACTGTAACGTCATGTAACTCGGTAGTGTCCCAAATTTTCTGATCAAGGAGATTATGGGGCCAAAGAGGAAAGTGATCAATGATGTAGAGTGTGCCTAAGGAGAGTCACATGGAGAGAAAACATTCTCTCAGGCTTTCACAGAGAGCACATTGGCCAAGCAATGGCCGTGACTCATCCACATGGCTGACACTGACAAAGGTTCTACAATCTGAGGTACAGGATCTCAAGATAAATCCTGAGGGTATTTCACTGACCTTATCAGACCCAAAAGCTACAACTCTTGTTGCATAGGTCCTGCTTTACCTTGGTTTTAACCATCCAGTAGAAAAGTATGAAGATGAAATATAGGAAGGAAAGCCATGCTGTTATGTTGAGCTGTGGGGGACTCAGGTCAACAATTTCTGACATTGCCAGTTAAACAGAAGACCCAATGCTATTATGGGCTACTGGACTCTTTTAGAATATTTTGCTGAGTTTGCACACCTATAATATTCAAATAACGGAACTTAACAAAAAAAGGGTATTACAGATGAATGTCCATTTTGTATCTGTGTATTCAGGGTGGTTAGGATAGATATATAGTTACATTCTGTTAATGAATAGAATGATATGTTTTCATGGTGTTTGTAAATAGGATCTCAGGTTCGCATCTTGTACAGCAATTAACCACTAAGAAGAATGTATGAAAAAAAAAAAAGAAGAATGTATGCAGTGTGTTAGTTATTGAAACTGTCCTAGTGATTTGATTTGAATCTGTCTCATTGCTATTTATCAATAAAATTATGGAAAAAAAATAAAATAAAATAAAGCACCTACTTAGAACAAGCTTAGCAAAGCACAGGGACCATGGTTCAATCCCCCAGCACCACATGCCAGCCAGCCCCAACCCCTGGTGGGCTGAGCTGGCCACACACACACACACACACACATACACAGAAATAAATAAATAAATAATTTTTTTAAAAAAACAAATTCTTGTTCTTCAAGGCCAGACTGAACTGTAAAGCAAGGTCCTGTTACAAAGCAAAACAAACAAACAAACAAAAATCTTCAAATTCTTGAGACTTGAATTTTTCTAGGTAATATATATGAATTTTATGCAAAAATTCAGACAATTGCAATTGCCATACGTAGGTATAATATTATGTATTTCAAATACACACTAATAAAATAGTGATACTATACACTAATAATAAACAGTTGTTCATTGAAAAAATAAATTAATCTCATTGACAATGCAAAGCAAAATCCTTAGGAATACATTTAAAGGACTGACAAACTAAAAAGAATAAAACATTGATGCAGTAAATTATGTTATAAATGAAAAGTCATCTCATGTTCATGAATTTAAATAACATTTGAAACTGTCCAGGATACCCAAAATACCAAAATCACTGCCATCCTTTTCAAGATTCCAATGGCATTTGTCACAGAATTATTTTAAAAGTCCTAAAATTCAAACAGAAACATAAGACTCCAAAAGGCCAAAAAAAAAAAAAAGAAAAGAAAAAAGTCTTGAGCAAGAATAAAACTGGAAGTATGACACATTCTGATTTTAAATTATATCACAAAGCTATAGTAATCAAAACAGTATGGTGGGGCTGGAGAGATGGCTCAGTGGTCTAAAGCACCAACTTGGAACAAGCTTGGCAAACCCAGGGACCGCGGTTCGATCCCCCAGCACCACATGCCAGCCAGTCCCGCCCCCTGGTGGGCTGAGCTGGCCACACACACACCACACACACTCTCTCTCTGTCTCTCTCTGTCTGTCTCTCTCTCTCTCAAATAAATAAAACAATTAAAAAAAAAAATTAAAAAAAAAAAAAAAAAACCAGTATGGTGCTGGCATAAAACCAGATGCACAGACCAATGGAAAGAAACAGAAATCAACAAATGCACAGGCAATTAATTTTAACAAATATCCCAAGAAAAAAAACTCTGTTCATACATGGGATTGATTGAAAACTAGATATCCATAGATAAAAGGATGTAATTGGAACATTATAGCACACTATTACAAAAATCCATCCTACATGGATCAGACTAAACCTGAGGCTGTGAAACCATGATACTTCTAGGAGAAAACATAAGAAACCACCAGGATATTGGTCTTAGAAATACCAAAAACAGTCAACAAAAGAAAAAAAAAAAAAACACACAAACAAACCAGAACTATACCAAACTAAAACCCTTCTTCACAGCAAAGGAAACAATTTTTAAATTTGTAATGAGCTGGAGATATAACTCAGTGGCACAGCACCTGCCTGGCAAGCACTAAGTCCTGAGTTCGATTCCCAGTATACCCCCAAGTGTTTGCAAGGATGTGAAGGAAACCATAACACTTGTATACAGCTAAATGGAATCAAAATTGGTGGAGACAACTGAAAAACAGTATGAAGGTTCCTCATAAAATTAAAATTAGAACAAGCAAATGAACCCAGAAATGTAAGCATTAGTTCACAGAAATAAAATGACTCCCTAAAGAAATATATGCACTCTTATGTTAAATGCAGCAGTACTAATAGTCAAGATATAGAAGCAACCTGAGCATTCTTTTATGTATGAATAAAGAAATATGACACATATGTATAATGGGATATTTACACTTCAAAAAAAGGAAAGTCTGGAGGGCCAGCCAAATAGCTCAGCAGATTAAAGCGACTGCAAGCAGATGCAGGGGCCAGGGGTTCAATCCCCGGGACCCACCATGCCAGCCCCCCTAGAGCACACTGAGATGTGATCGAGACTAGGTGTGGTGGTGCGTACCTGTAATCTATGAGTCCAACCTAATACAACAATCTTTTTTTTTTTTTTTGGAACCGGGGATTGAACTCAGGTCCTTGTGCTTGCCAGGCAAGCACTTATTCTACTGAGCCATCTCCCCAGCCACAAGTCCATCTAGTAATGAGACCTTGACCACCCTGCAGACCCTTCCCTAAAATACAGAAAAAATAAAAATAAAAATAACAAAAGGAAAGTCTACCATTAGGACAATAAGGCTGAATACAGAGGACATTATGCTATGTGAAACAAATACAAAAACACAAGCACTGCATGATCATTCTTAAACACAAAATCTAGAAGTCAAACTCAAAGAAGGAAAACAATGACCATGGTTACTAGAGGCTAGGAGTTGGAGGAAATGAGATATTTGTCAAAGGACACGAACTTTCAGTTAAAAGATTAAATTCTTGAGACCTTATATACAGCATGTGAATATAGTAACAATGTACTATATACCTGAATTTGCTAAGAGGGTAGGAAGTGTTTTACAACACCGAAAAAAAAGGTCATTATATCATGTAACAGGTATTTTAGTTAACCTGATTAACTCAATCATTCCCTTTTATGTGTGTTTTGTCAACCATATCTTAGTAGTAAGTGGGAGAAAAAGTTGGACTACAGTAGAAATTAAATATTTAAAACTAAAAAGTAATAAAAATTCACAAATATTCAAAAACACTGCAAATACTGAAACTGCAAATATTCAAAATAAATCTTCAAAACCATAAGAAAGCCATCTCTTCAGCATATAGGATTGTAGAACAGAGAAGCAATCTTCATATTCATACATGAGTAGTTTCTCAAATAAGAATTATTTTATTAGAAGTTGAGAAATAATGTAAACAATGGTACTTTTTAGCATTTACTTCCACAAAATCTTTGTCCACTGTGATATCACAGGCAACCATCAAAGTGCTTAGCAGCTACAGCTTTCCCACGTGTTGCATCAATAGCTTCTCTTCATTGAAAGATCTTGCATATTTAAGTGAGATCTCAAGACAGGGAAGTCTTTCCATGTTTCTGGCATTGTACAGCTTCAGAATGAGTCCTTGTAAGCTGGATGGTAAGCTGACTCTGATGATTTATATTTTTTACATTGACTTTACATTGTTCTTTATTCTTTCAAGTCTGAAGTAACCAGGGCAAATGAACACTACGTGTGGCTTACATTGATAAGGTTTCTTGCCACTGTGAATTTGAATGTAATACTAAGGCAAGTGGACTTCCTAGAATAGTTTCTTCACTCCTTATATTCAAAGGGCTTCTCTCCAGTGTTTTTACATGTTCAGAAAGATGAGAAGAATTGAAGGCTACCTCACAACCCTTGTATTTATAGGGTTTCTCTGTACTGTGAGTTTTCACATGTTTACTTAGGTGTGAATAAACAGTAAAGGCTTTGCCACACTCCTTACACTCATAGGGTTTTTCCCCAGTATGAGTACGCATGTGAATGTGAAGGTAGGAGGAACATGTAAATGCTTTCCCACACATGTTACACTCAAAGGGCTTCTCTCCAGTATGAATTCTTAAATGTGCAATAAGGTATGAGGAGGAAGCGAAAGCTTTCCCACACTGGTCACATTCATATGGTTTCTCTCCTGTGTGACTTCTTATATGCTCGAGGAGGCCTGAGGACGTGGTGAAGGCTTTCCCACATTCCTTACACTCATAGGGCTTCTCCCCAGTGTGAGTGCGCACATGTTTAGTGAGGCCTGAGCGCACAGTGAAGGCTTTCCCACACTCCTCGCATTTATGGGGTTTCTCACCTGTGTGAATTCTTATGTGTTTACTTAAGTGCGAGGAAACAGTGAAGGCTTTCCCACATTCTTTACATGTGTAAGGTTTCTCACCAGTGTGAGTTCGTATGTGATTGTGAAGGTAGGAGGAACAGGCGAATGCTTTCCCACATACATGACATTCAAAGGGGTTCTCTCCAGTGTGTGTTCGTAGGTGTTTAGTGAGGCTTGTGCGCTCAGTGAAGGCTCTGCCACATTCCTTACACTCATAGGGTTTTTCTCCAGTGTGAGTTCGCATGTGGATGCGAAGGTAAGAAGAACACGTGAATGCTTTTCCACATACCTTACACTCAAAAGGTTTCTCTCCAGTGTGGGTTCTCGAATGCGTGATAAGGGATGAAGAAGAAGCAAAAGCCTTTCCACAGTAGTCACATTCAAAGGGCCTCTCTCCTGTGTGACTTTTCATGTGTTTAATAAGGCCAGAGGAAGAAGTGAAAGCCTTCCCACATTCCTTACATTCATACGGCTTCTCTCCAGTGTGAGTTGGTAAATGTTTACTAAGGCCAGAGCGCCCTGTGAATGCTTTGCCACAGTCCTTACATTTGTAGGGTTTCAGTCCAGTGTGAACACGAAAGTGATCATTAAGGCATGAGGAATTTCTAAAGCATTTTCCACAAACCTTGCATTCAAAAGGCTTCTCTTCAGTGTGAGTTTTTAAGTGCTGAGTTAATGGATAACACCTAGAAAAGGCTTTCCCACACTCCTTACACTGATAAGGTTTCTCCCCCGTATGGGTTCGCATATGAATATTAAGATTGGCAGAGTATTTAAAATTTTTTCCACATTCCTTGCATTCATAGGGTTTTTTCCCAGTGTATGTTTGAACATGTGTGCCATGACCCATGGAGGAATTAAAATTCTCATGGTTTTTAATGGATTGTGTCCATTCAAAGAGTTTGTCTTTACTCTGAGTTCTCTTAAGGTTGTATTCCTGAAGCTGTGGCTGACTGAGAAAGGCTTGCCCATGGTCACTGCATTGAAAAGTTTTTGGCTGTGTACACAGTGTCTGATAAACCACATTCTGAGTCAGACTGAAGTCTTTTCCATACTGACAGAACACTGGAAGTTGGTCGGTAGATGCTTCCTTGTGCAAATCAGGAGAGTCTTTACTATACTGACCACAATCCATAGTGTTCCCCCCATTTTGTATACCCACATGTGTCAGAAGGCATGAATGTTCTTTGAAGATTTCTCCATATGGCTGAAGGCCATAAAACTTCTCTGTGCATTGGTTCCTTGCCTGTTGACCAAAAAAAAAGAAGTAAATAAAAAAATTTCCCCCAAGAGAAGTATTTTTGCAGCCTTAGAAGATTCTATACTCATGATGATTATGATTTCTGCCATTTGCATTACATGCATAATGTTCCTACCCCCTAAATTTTATTCAGTAAGAATGAAGGAATTCAACTGTAAGATCCTATGCCATCTTCTCTAATTTCAAAGGGATTCCTATAGATTTTCATGAAATTATTTTACAAAATCAACATCTAGTTACTATATAGAGGTAATGTACCCTTGAAAGAGCTCTAAAGTTTCATACCAGGTTTAGGGTATCTCCTCAGAAACACTGCTTCCTGAGGAGCAAACAGCTCTGATTTCTATCTCTCTCAAATGTCTCTAACTTTTATTATGAAATGTCCAATCCTTTCTGAATGTGGAAAATTATAAATACCTCTTGTGAGTCTTACCGGTTGTATCTCATGTGATGTTTTTAACCAAAAAGTATCTTGTTGAAGTGCTCTCCCTTTAGTGTTAAGCTGCAGTGCCCATTCTGAAATAAAATAAAATATGTTTCCAAAATAAAACAGTAGAAAAGTTAAAAACAATATAGTTCATTTATATATTTGTCCATATTAAATATGCTAAAAAATAAAGTCTGATATATTTCAGCAGTGTGGCAATATCTAAAGTATGAGAAGTTTGGGATATGGCTCTATATTAACATGTACAAGGTCCTGGGTCTCTAGCACAGAAAAAGAAATCCTTTAATATTAAAGGATTTAAATAATCCTTTAATAATGAAATTTGACAATCCTAAGGATAAGGGGTCAAAATTCAAAAATTAATAAATTACTCTAAAAGTTGAATGTTCTGACAAATAAAAACAGTAGTATCATAGAAGAAAAGTAAGTAGGGCTAGAGAGATAGCTCAGTGGAATAAGTGCTTGCCTGTTAAGTGCAGGGTCCTGAGTTTGATCCCTGGTACCACAAAAAAAAAAAAAAAAAAGAAGAAGAAAAGTAAGAAAGATCTGGAAAAAGAATATACATGAAAACCATGAACTCAAGGAAGAAAGCATAGGTGGTTGTGATTCTAAGAAAGACCGGAGAGACGGTAAATGATTTTTGGGGTACTAGGATGTGAAGACATCCCAAAGCTTCTGAGCCCAATGGCCTTGGCCTCCTGACTCAAAGGCTTTTCACAATAAAGTCTGGGCATTCCCCAAACACTCTACACTTCTCAATGTCCAGACATGCTTCTCACAACACCTACCTTGGAGAGCACCTCTCTCCACTATCCTTAACTCTTCTTCTGCCTCCAAACAAGAGATCAGGCTGGGTTTGATGAGCTGACATCCTACACAAGAGAAAAGATACATTAATGGAAGTGGTTTATACAAGAAGTAATGAACCTTCCATGATTTAGGAATTACAACTTTTTGATTTGGTTTGCTTTGGTTTCTGGGATTTTCGTTTGTTTATTTTGTGTGGTTTTTTTCAGACAGGGTCTGACTACATAGTGCTGGTTGGCCTTGAACTCACTTATGTAGCTAAAGCTGGCCTCAAACTCCTGTGAATCCTCCTGCCTCACCCTCTCAAGTGCTGGAATTACAGGTGTGCACTACCACACCCAGCTAGGAACTACAGTTCTAATGACAGGGGAATGACTAACAATCACAATTTGCAAATATCTTCTTACTATGTGTCTTGAAAGCACTGATCTCTGACACCCAAAAGTCTAAAATGATTATTACATACACACTAAAAAGGTACTAAGTAGTAAACAAATAGAAAATAAGTGAAACGAACTTCATTTTGTTGGTACTAGAGATTGAATCCTAAGGCCTTTGCACTGAACTAGATCCCCAGTCTGATTTTTTAAAATCTTGAAACAGGGTCTTGTCAAGTCACTAAGCTGCCCAGGTAGAAAGATCCCTAGCACAGGAAAAAAAAAGAAAGCAATAATTATAGTAATAAATACAATGATACTTGATAATCATGGGATAAGGAGTCAAAATTTAGAATAACTTATTCTAAACAAATATTCTAATGAACACAGTACTATCACAGAATAAACTTATGATCCTCTTGCCTGAGCCTCCCAGAGTGCTGGGATTATAGCTATGTGCCACCATTGCTGGTTGAGATCTTTGTTATCATAGAGGAAAAACCTACACCAGTGATTTTTTTTTCTCTTTTTTTGTGGCAGTAGGGTTGAACCTAAGAAGCACTGGGCCAAACATCCAGCCCTTTATTTTATTTATTTATTTATTTATTTATTTATTTTTATTTCAGGGAAGGGTCTACAAGGTGTTCAGGGTCTCACTACTAGATTGGACTCATAGTGATCCACCTGCTTACAGCCTCCCAAGAGCTGGGATTACAGGTGCAACACCCAGTCTCAGTTGCCAGCTCAGTGTGCTACAGGGGCAAGGCCGACATGGCAGGCCCGAGAATCGAACCTCTGGCTCCTGCACCTACTTACAAGTGCTTTAATCCACTGAGCTATTTGGCCAGCCCTCAGCCCTCTAATTTTTATTTTCAATAGGATTTTGCCAACCTGTCAAGGGAGGCCTCTAACTGGTACTCCTCTTGACTCAGCCTTTCATGTACTGCAGAGTGCAAGTGCGCACCACTGCACCTGGCACCTGGCTTACCAATAATTCTTGTTTTGTTTTTTCTGTTGTTGAGAAAGGGTCTCACTACATAGGTTCAGGCTGGCCTTGAACTTGTGGCAATCCTCCTACCTCGGCCTCCCAAGTGCTGTGATTACAGACACGCACCACCATACCCAGTGCACCAATCATTCTTAACTATTTAATGTATCAAATTCATGTGGCAGGCAAATTAAATACAGATGACAGGGTCTTAACTAAGAGTTTCAGTTTGTCAAAGGTAGAGACTGAAAATGCATGTTAAGACCAAGAGTGAGACTACTGACCCAAGACCATATCTTAAGAACCACTATAGTAGTCTATTACATGTAGAACAGGGAGTGTGCCTTCAGCATTGTCCACTGTGCTCACAGTTGGCATCACCCATCTTAAAACACAGTAAACTCCTGTTCCAGAAGAGGATACAAGGAATGACAACACTCTTACCTACTGAGACCAGGTTCTGGTAGTTCTCCAACATCACCTCTTTGTATAAGTTTCTCTCAATTGGGTCCAGTAAAGCCCACTCCTCTGGGTTGAAGTCCACAGCCACATCCTCAAAGGTCAGAAAGCCCTAAATCACACACACACTAGTTTAAGCCAAGTAACACCGCCCCCAATATTCATGGAAAACGGAGGGCAGGGGACTCTGTTCCTAGAAGAAATAGCCATACATAAGGGCACACATCTGTAACCTCAGCACTCTGTGAAGCAGAGGCAGGCGGATCACACTTTGAGCCCACCTGAGCAACTTAGCAAGCCACTGTCTCAAAATAAAAATAAAAATAAAAAAAAACAAAGAAACAAAGGGTTGTGCATGGAGCGCAACACAGAAGCTGTAGATTCACTTTCCAATAGCCATTAAAAAACAAAAATAAGCTGGGAGTGCTTCCATTGCTTACTCCAGTGAACACTAGTCCTAAAGCAATGATGGGGGACTTTTTAGAGCTTTCAATGATACAAAAAGCTCACTGTGGCCCTCGTGCCATAGGTTCATCACCGCTACCCATATATGCATTTCTGTATCTACACTCACAATCCATCCTCCCCACTCATGGGTGTAATTGGAGCACATGAAACATGAACTTTTCTCACCTCCACCAGACTGGGAACTCTTTCTTGTCTTAACTCTCTCTCTATTAAAATACACTCTTGAGCAAAATGCACACATTTAATAAATAGTAATGAACAAATAAATGCTGTGAGAAAAAGACACTTTCATTTTCTTTATCATCAGACCACTCAGCAAAATCAAGAACATGTAGTCAGTACCAAGAGGGTGAAGACTAATTAGTAATTACTGAATGATGTTCAGGGTATTCGTCACTGATTACAAGATTCACTCCTGGGGCTGGTGAGATAGCTCAGTGGACTAAGTACCTACTTAGGCAAGTACAGGGACCAGGATTCGATCCCTGGTCCCACATGCTGTGCCGGCCCCACCCCCCTGGTACACTGAGCCAGCGACTAATGGTGCCCGCCTGTAATCCCAGTGCTCAGGTGGGTGAAAACAGGAAGATCACTACAAATCCCAGCTGCATAGTGAGACCCGGTACCAAATACATAAAAATAAATAAATAAATACTGTAAGATTCACTCCTGGGGAAAATATAACTGAGGGGGCCAGCGAGATAGCTCAGTGGACTAAAGCGCCTGCTTAGGCAAGCTTAGGCAAGTGCAAGGACCATGGTTCGATCCCCAGCACCACATGCCGCGCCAGCCCTGCCCCCAGGGTGGGCTGAGCCAGCCACAAAGTCCTGGCACAGTGGCACACGTCCGTAATCCCAGTGCTTGAGGAGACTGAAAACAGTAGGATCACTATGAGTCTGAGCTGCGTAGTGGGACCCTGTAACAACCAAATACATTAAAAAATAATAATAATTTTTAAAAAGAAAGGAAATATAACTGAGGACTCAGTTCTTTAATGGGTACTTAGAGGGCACT